ACAAATGTGCACAAAGAAATATAGAGTATTGGTTAAGGTACAAATGAATATAAAAGACATTATGAATTTTTTTTGCTTGCAACACCATTTCTTCTCTTACCTGATATTTGCATAATACAACAACCCCAAAACTATGATAATGACATTATGTTGTATAAATACATAATTTCATTGCCTATAATAACACAACGAAGAAGATTATATGAGCAAAAATTATATAATAATTGATAATATTTAATATATAAAATATATAATATCTATTTTATATAATATATAAACCATATAATATTTAATGTGTAGAACATATAATAAATATATCGTATATATTTTATATAATATATAAAATATTCTAAATTATTACATATGAGTAAAAATTTTGTGTATTATTGAAGTTAAACTGGTATTAATCCTCATAGTTTTTAAGTTAAGATGTTTAATTTTTTTGGGGGGGATACTGGGGATTGAACTCAGAGGCACTTGGCCACTGAGCCACATCCTCAGTCCTATTTTGTATTTTATTTAGAAACAGAGTCGAGTCTCACTGAATTGCTTAGCACCTCACTTTTGCTGAGGCTAGCTTTGAACTTGAGATCCTTCTGCCTCAGCCTCTCGAGCCACTAGGATTATAGACTACGCACAGCTAAGATATTAAATTTTATTCCCAGTGCAACTACTTAAACGTTTGTTTACAAAAGGAAAAGAAACAAGAGAACTAAACTAGCACACTATAAAATATTTATTTAATACAAAAGAAGACAGTAATGGAGGAATAGAAGAACAAGACAGATAAGACATAGAAAGTAAATAGAAAATAGATATGAATCTTGTCTTAACAGTAGAGCAATAAATGCAAATTTATGAAACACTCAAATCATAAGGCAGAGATTACAAAATGGATTTTTTAAATGGTTCAAATATATAAAGAGGCACACTTCAGATTAAAAGGCACAAATGGTTAAAAACTAAAACATATAAGAAGATATACCAAGCAAAAACTATAAAGCAGTTGGATATGTAATCCCAGCAGGTACTCAGGAGGCCAAGGCAAATGGAATGCAAGTTCAAAGACAGCCTGAGCAAATTAATAAGAATCTTTCTCAAAATATAATCATTTTTGAAAATACTGGGATATAGTTCAGTGGAAGATTACTTGATTAGCATGTTCAAAGCCCTCGATATTCTTCAATACTTAAAAAAAAAAGATAGCCAGATAATATCAAATAAAACAGACCTTAAAACTTCTACTCTCACACTCATCATTTAGCTTACTGTCCATTCATTTCCTTACAATGAAGACTTGGAACTTAATTGATGACCTTTCTCTCTATCCTAAAACCTGCCTATATCCCTACTGAGATATAGTTCAGTGGAAGATCACTTGCTTAGCATGTGCAAATCCTTGGATATTCTTCAATGCTTAAAATAAAAAAAAAAGATAGCCAGATAATATCAAGTAAAACAGACCTTAAAACAAAACTATAAACAAAAACCAGTCACTAAAGATAAAGATGAAAATATTATAATGATTAAAGGTCTCATCCACCAAGATATGTAATATATATATATATATATATATATATATATATATATATATATACACACATACATACACACACACACACACACACACACAACTAATAAGAGATCCCAAAATACATGGCATCAGACCTGGCAGAACTGAAAGGATAAATAGAGAACAATAATAATTAGAGATTTCACTTAGATAATGGGACAGCTAAACAGAAGATCAAAATAAAATAAAATACTTTAAAAACAGTATAAATAAACTAGTCCTAATAGATTTCTGTAAAACACTCTACCAAACAATATCAGAACACAAAATTCTTCTTGATCACTTATATATTTTTCATAATACACAAGTTAGGGGAAGACCAGAAAACAAGACTCAATAAATGTAAAAGGATTGGAACCGTATAAACTATGTTTTCTAACTCATGATGGAATTATATTAAAATAATACAGCAGGAATTTAGGGAAATTTGTAAATATGTGAAAATTAAGCAACATCATCCTAAATAACCAGTGTATTGAAGGGAAAAAAAACACAAGGGAAATTTAAAAAATACTTTGAGATGAATGAAAAATGATAACATGATGTGATCAAACTTGTTGAATGTCACTGAAGAAGTAAGTGCCCAGAAAGATATACTGAAAATTCATATATTGGAACAGAAAGATCTCAAATCAATAACCCAAATTTCTACTCTCAAGAAACTAGTAAAAGAAGGACAAAGTAAATCCAAAACAAGGATAAGAAACAAAGTAATAAAAATATTTGAAATATAGAGTAGAAATATAAGGGAAATCAATGAACCCAAGATTGATTTTTCAAAAAGATCAACAGAATGAATGGACTTTTAGTTAGATTGACTACTAATGCCTCCCCATCAAAAAAAAAGGAAAAAAGCAAAATCCAAAATGGAAGAGAGAATATCACTAGCTATGAATACTATGAATAATTATATGCCAACAAACTAGATCACCTAGAAGTAAATATTAAAATATTCAGGGGCTATGAGTCATGGGTTTGGCAATTTACTCTTAAATGATTCAGAAAAAAAAAAGAGTTATTTTTATGGTACTTTTAGCTTCTGTAAATACAAAATTATTTCAAAAAGAAATAAAAGGAAAAATAATAATATCATGCCAGGCTACTATTCCCTGTAAGCTTATTACTGTAAGAAAGAAAGAATATCAAAGTTCAAACAATAATGGTTTACCTCTAATCAGTGGCAAACATTCATTAAATACACGTTTCAACACGTTTGCACATATGTGTCGTGATTTCAGATGTGGAGCAGTTTCACAACCATCCAAATTTGTGAGGCAGTTCAAGCACATGGCAAAAATTAACTGTGAGTTACTGGAAATGATGAAGTCAAGGAATTGAAATTCATTATCATGGGAGGAGTCGTGCAAGATGATTTAAATTGTGTAAGATGATGACAGGTTTTAGGATAGAGAGATAGGTCATCAATTAGGTTCCAAGTCTTCATTGTAAGGAAATGAGTGGACAGGAAGCTAAATGATGAGTGTGGGAGTAGAAGTTTTTGAGCAAGAAAGGCAGGAACCTCAAAGATACTGATAAATAATAAAAAAGTGATAGTAGAGAAGTAATATAGAGGCTGAACACTAACCCTAACTTCAAATAGGCTCAAGAGACCATATTTGGCTGGCTGTATTCTACCACAGAATCAACATTTTAAGGGAAGACTTCAGAGCCAGAAATAAAAGGATATTCAGTGCCACTTGGTCTGCAATTATCTGTCAAGAAATCAAAGAAGAAAACAAATAGTTTTTTTGATATACTAATAAGAGGAATAATAAGGAACAATAACCAAATAATACTGATACCCATTTATTCTTCACAAAGAATATTTAGAGCCCAAAACCCATAATACCATATGTTGCCTTATAAAATAATGACACATTCTCTGTTGCATGAAATAATAATACAAAAGCATACAGCTTTAAGATAGTGTGTGCATGTGTGTGTGTGTGTGTGTGTGTGTGTGTGTGTTATAGGTCAGTTAAGTTACAGATGAAGGTATTTTTTCAATCACTATATGCTCTATTCAATAGTTACCTTCTCTACTAAGAGTTCATGTAGTAAAGAGGAAAACTATAACACTAAAACAGAGGTGAGCTGAGAGTTGGGGAACATTTGGCAAGCCATTATTGATCTAATTTTTAGTTTCACTTAAGAAATGATAACTTTTAAAGTTCCTTCAAATGTTGCTAATTCTATTTCACTTATGATTTTACTTAACTGTAATTACTTAGAAACATATTTAGCATATGAAGCAAATTATCTATTACTTTATTCCTTTAATGTTAAAATACCAAATATAGAGACTTATATTTAGAATAATGGGCTTATACATTGAGCTTTTTTAATTTTCTAGTAGATTATTTTATTTTTTGGTAATTTACTAATTTTGGTCCATCCTCCTTTGTATACATTATACACTCAAGTATATCAAAATAATTCTGTGAAAATATGGCATAAGCTTTTTCCTATTTTTGTTTTTCCTCATTACTGAACTTGTTTCTCTAGCTCTCTCCATGAGCTAACCCTTTTGCACTTTTAAATTCTTAGCACTTTAAAACTAGAATCAGAAATCTTGATACATCTACATAGTAATTTTTATTATGTCTTAATTTTTTGTCACAGAAATGCTTCATTTTGATTACTCCCTAATAATACCAAATCATAACTTATTGACAGATTTTTTTATTTATCATTTCTTCCTTCTACTCTTAATTCTGTGAAAAGCTGTTTACCATGCCTTTGTCAAGGGAGACTCTTGTTAAATTGTAATCATTCCAAGATGAACATGTATTGTGACTGCACATGCTTATTCAGAAGAAAAGGAAATGAATTGACAATCAAGTTTATCCATGAATTAAAAAGTGCACAAGCATCTACCAACTTTGAAAGAAACCCAGTTTACTTTTGCTTTAATGCACCCAGAAGGTTTCAAATCAATACTTAGCATTAACGTTTTAATTGAGAATTAACATCACCATAATTGGAAGTGAGGATCAGCATCCTAATATTTAGGATAAGGTGATTTGGTTGCAGAGGTCATTACACTGGAGAGCACAAACATTGAAAAGGGAAAACACAAATCATTTGTTTCCTTGGGCAAGGGCACACAGAAAACACTTGAATTGGTGGTCAACTATAATTTGCTTCCAGAGCCAGAAACTCTGGAAACATTCCACTGTGGATTTATAGCAGAGCACACAAGTAGCAGTGACTTTGAAATCAAAGGATAAAAGAACAAAGGGAAAAGTGACCAGCTCTGAAAGATCTGTTCTATCACAGGGCTTAAGGACTTTCCCATCAATCTAAAAGGAATAGGTACCTTGTGGTTATTCCCAGCAGACCCCAAATTTTGTTACAATTCCCAACATGCTCCTAAATTATTCCTAAATAGTTACTTCTTGTGGGAGCCAACATATTTGAGTCTGGGTTATCAACAATCTTTTATTTATTTATTTTTTTAACTGGGAATTTCAAATCAGTAATGTTCCCAGCTGAACAATATAGACAGATTTCCTTCCTATTTTGATAAAAAATAACCTTTAAAAATGTATTGTTTTCTATTTGCTTCCAGTGTCTTGAAATGTTCTGTTACTTCTCTAAATTCTCCAGAACATAAGAAAATACTGTCCTCCCCCCCCCCCCCCACACACACACCCCGTACCACCCTGCCCACCAGTACCACACTAAGACACTTCCACCTCATCCACTTTCCGGGAATGGGTGTGCTGTTCAGATGAGTTCCTTGGTGGCATAGAGGAAATTTGAAGGGGAATTTCTGTAGAACTCGCCATCTCACAAGTAAGTTCCTCTTTTCCCTTTTCCTTGAAATTGCGAAAGGATGTTCACAAGGAGTGTCCATGACTTGTTTCCCTACGTGTTGCTAGAGCCAAGGGAGGACCCTGCCAGCGAGGCGCCCTCTGCTCTGTCCAGCACACCAGAGTTCCCGACCTTCACCCCATTGTCTGTGCAATGTGCAGAACCGGAACGCAAAGTAGCGGTCTCAGCATCAGTCTCCTTGCCCCCCGGGGCCAAAGGCCCTTTCCTTGATGAGGACTGAGGGCTCTTGTGAAAGCAGAGTTTGAAAAGCCCCAGCACTGTCATAGTCAAGATCACCAATACTACCACTGCTATGCTCACGAGTATGAAGACCACGGTGGATGAGGAGTCCAAAGTATGGGGAATGAGAGAGGAAGATGTGGAATTAAACGTGGAGGTCACGCTTCCTGATGGGGTGATGGTGGCCTTTGACTTGATTCCAGGGGACATTTGAAGGGTCGATATGGTGCTCTGTGTTCCCCACTGAAGAATCTCAGAAACAGATGTTGCAGAACTGTCTTTTCCACTGACATGGGGTATCTCTCCTGGCTTCTCACGGACTGGGGGTGACGACGGTCTCTTTGGCACTGGGCTGGCTTCAGTGAACAGCTGGAGCCTGGTGAGCCCCGTGGTTCCCCCAGAGGTAGGCTGTCCTTCCCACTTTGTCACACAAGAGCGTCCGTCTTTCCCCAACTGGAAGCCTGCAGCACATTCACAGGCAAAGTTTCCCAAGTCATCTAGGCAGTTAGGGAGCTCTGAGCATCTGCCGGCACGGAGATACCTCCCGGGGCAGGGACAGAGCACCGCCCCAGTGGGGAGCCCTTCCCAATGAGCGCCATTCTCTTCCTCGACGCAGGTGCCTGAGATGGAGAGCTCCCCCGGGCAGCGTGCACTCACCTTGGTCCCAGGAGGACTGAAGTCCAAAGAGGAGCTGTACATCTGGAAGGGAGCACGATAGCTCAAGTTAGACGCAGCCCCGGGGCGCGGCGCAGGGCACAAACTCTCAAACTTGTACTTGCACAGGTAGCCATTGGCGCGCGAGTGGCAACGCATCTCCTTCCAGCCCGCGGGCTCCACCCCACCGGTGGCCTGGAGTCCCGCGCAACTCCGCACAGTACAAGAGAGTTGTGGCTCCTCCACCCACGGCAGCGTGTCATTTTCGGACTCTCCGGAGTCGGGGGACAACCAGGAGAAACTCCTCAATGGCTCGTTCTCCAGGGTGCAGTTGGAACGTCTGCGCTCCAAGGCGACCCAGAACAGAAGGTCTTTGGAGCCTCCTCCAGGCCCGGGGCCTGCCCTTAGGAGCGCGAGCACTGCACGCAGCTCAGCACCACCATGCACTGTGCTGAGAGACCCGCCGCGCAGGTTGCAGGCCTCCTCGGCCGCCAGCCGCTTGATGGTAGCGTGGTGTAGACTGTAGCAAGCCCCAGAGGCTGAGCAACCCGCGCGGTCGGCGGTAGGGTGCTCGCCACCACCAGGCCTGGGCCAGAACGCCTGACAGAGGAGACACAAGGCGAGAGCCGGTCTCATCGTGAAGACCCTCTGTCCACAGCTGCTCCCAATTTAGATCTGCCCTGCCCCAGAGCGCAGAGAGGCTCTGGAGCCCGGTCACCGCCCTAGACAGCTGGCTCCCCCCACCGGGTGACCCCTCCCCTCTCTTCTCCTCCGCCCCCGTGCCCCAACTGCCAGAATCCCCACCAGAGTCCTTGAGGCCAACAGCTTCCCCTGGGCCGCGACAGGAAATGTGTCCATAGCTTAGCCAGGCCCGGTGCAGTCTGATTTATTCTGGGGTCAGGAACACAGCTGGCGCCTGAACACTGGGAACACAGACCAGAAGGTCAAATGCCCTGTTTAGAGCAGGAGAAAAAGTTAAGTTGCTACTAGGATGAAGTGTATCGCTTTCCTTGCTCAGGGAATTTCTGGACCTGGATCCCAGAACACATTGGTGAACATTGGCAGGAAGGACTGGAAAAAAGGGCCCACGCCCGCGCATTGTGTTTCTGTCCGGGATGGTGGAATTGGCGTCACAGTAATTTGCAGACGGCTCCAGTCTTCAGGTTTCCTGCTCTTGTAGGGAGATAAAAGTCATGTGAGAAATCTTAGCATCTCCCCTCTACACCAGAGGCAGCACTATTTAACCGCAGATCTCTTCCAGGGGCTCTGCTTCTCTATTCTGTCAAAGGAAATCCAGTCGTCCTGATAGCTAGTCAAAGAATTTAAAATTCCTTCGGGTATTTTAAATGGGAAACACTTGCTTCTTAGGTCAGCACTGGCCTTAAAAGTTTATTTTCACCCCCACCCCCTTTGAAATAGCCCATATTAGTTTATTCAGGAAAGGAAATCTATTTCTACACCTAAATGAAATATTAGGGCTATAGATCTTAACTGTTAGGTGGTTAGGTTTTCTTCAAGCTTATAGGTCAGGTACAAATGAGTTCATGGACTTATTAATATTAGAAACAACTGCCCTATGTATGATTTTATTCTTGGAACTATTTTAATATCATTTTCTCCCATGACTAAGTATCAATATTTATAGCAGTAAGTTGTAAAAGTCTCCTTTCAGAACATTAGCGTTCAACATCCTTAAAAATTTAAAATATGTACTACATTATGATGCATATTGTATGCTGTAAAATGATACTTTGTAATTTGAAAGATTATTGAATCAATTTCTTCAGAGTACCAAGAAGTGGCCTATTTTAATATAAATACCAATATTCACTTGGAAGAGGGGAAGAAAAGATAAAGGAAGGAAAGTTTCAAAATCTATATTGTCTGAATTTCTTGTTAGTAAACTTAGACAATTCAACATCATTTTAGAAAATATACCATTTTATCTTGACTAACAGTGACCAAATGTGTTGTAATCAGAAATCAGAGTTTCAACTAAGCACTCATAATGATGTATGATGGTTTTAAATATCCTTCAGAATGACAGTTCCCATTCCATGAACAATGAATACCACCACACACTTAGGCTCATTTTGTTAAACTGCTCTGGTTAATGATTGTTGAGAAAGCAGGTATCAGGCTCACATCTGCATGCTCCCATCTTATGTGTTTATATATATATATTTTATCATTCTTCTCACTTTCTGTTCGTCCCAGACATTCCATGTATTTTAACAAGCCATAATAAACATCATGAATCATCATCCCACTTACGTTGCTTTTGCTGACTGTGGAGTTTCACAGCAGGATTTCTCTCCTACCCTTTTTGTTTCCCAATTTAAAGGACATTCATTAGTGCTTCATTTCAAATGTCTGAGACATCCAAATATGGTTTTGCATTTAAATTAAGTAACTTAGTGTCTTATGAGAAAGAAACATGAAAATCCCAAAATCAAATTGAATGAATTTTGAAAATTCTTGATCACTTGGGTTATCTCTATATGCCTGTGCAATCTATGACAGACAGTGCTTGGGTAAATGTGTCACTGCGGTGTGGCATATTTCAATAAAACCTTTTTCAAACTTAAGTAGTTCGTGGAAATTCTTAGATATTTTAAAAATCACTTGGGATGAGATGAGGTTTCAAGAGTAAAAAGGATTGAATAACTGAAAAGTTTATAATAAATACATGATCTCACTCCCTGGCATTCTGCCTAGGTAGTGGCATATTACAAGAGAGGAACATATTGACCATAATGATTATACATCATAGTCTTGGCCATGCCTGAAATGATGTGAGAGAAGAGTTTGAAAAAAAAATTAGTTTGAAATAAGACACATATCATTTCATAATTAATTAGTTTGTATTGATTCACATGCTACTAACATTTTGAAAAGTACAGTATCTGAAAATTTAGAAATGGAGAAAAGCTCTTATTTTTGAATAATACATTTATTAAGATTCAATAGGTTACCATTTTACTTTCATTCATGTCCAAATACTTCAAAATCTGATAATAAGAAGTGTTAATCTATAGGTTTTTCTTGTTATAGATGAGAGCAACTATATTGGAAAAATCTTGCCAGTATTTCTTCTAATTGAATATTTGCATACTCCATACCTCACTACTCGAATGAACAAGTGTGAGTGTGCATGTGTGTCTGTTTGTGTGGATGTTTATAGCAGTTCTGTTCATGTTAATGACTATCAGAATCTCTCAAAATGCTCAGAAACAATAGAGAATAGACTGTGTTATATTCATTCAATGAATATGACATAACCATCAAAATTAATGAAATGTAACCACAAGTAACAATATGAAGTAATGTTAGCAATACAATGTTAAGTGACAAATTTCCAAAAGATCATATAGGCCATTATTTTTTACAACATTAAAAATGCTAAATACTTATATATAAAATATATGTACTTTTTAAGAAAATAAAGTTGTACAATGAGATAAAAGGAATAATGGAGATAGGGTGATGAATGCTTTGGGCAGGAGACAAATGAGGGCAGATCAGTGAAATTTAAGCCAATTGTTAGTCTGAAAGAGCACAATAAATAAAATATTTCCTTACACTTCTAGAATTTTTAAATAATACAAATTATGTCTGATACTTATTTGTTCATACACTAGTACAAAGTCACTCAAAGAACTAGAGAGAATGTATAAGGAAAGCAGGTTCAGCCCAACATTTCAATTTAATTATTAATTTAGAATATCTGAGCAATTCAATATGGAGAAAGAAATAATTTTCACGAATCACATGTAACCTGACAAATTTATAAAGTTTTTGATCCCCAATGAATAAACTCTATTATTGTTGAAAGGGAACAACATCTGGGTCTTAGTATATTTCTGAGTTCACTTAAGATATATAAAAATACTTGAGGAAATTGAAATGCAGGCAGCATTCCAGCAGAGGAACATGGCATTCAGAAGTTAATCTGTAGAGACTAAGAACTGTGAGAGTCCATAGCCTTTTAGAACTGGACTGGACCTTAGCAAAATGACCTTTTTAACTGGTGAGTTACAAGTGTTCATCTTGGTTTGCTTGACTTTTTTTTTTTTTTAAGTAGGTCCATAGAACTTTGAGTTCTTCAGTGTTAGAGTCTGTAAACAAGTCAAAATAACATCTGGCATTTTGCCAGAGAAATGTTAGAGTCTGTAAACAAGTCTGGATGGTGCCTGGCAAAATGCCAGAGGGAGTGGTTTGTGAAGTAACTCCAGGGAGCCATTAAGTGTGGAGATTTCTTATTGGTTGACTGATGTATCTAGTTTATGCTAATTAAGATAAGCTGTGTGAAATGTATAAATACCTCTGTTGTCCTACAATAAACGGCTTCCACTCCTGCTGTATCAATCTACACAAATTGTTCGTCACCCCCGGGGTTATTTTGCCCAGCCAGCCAGGCTGCGGCACTTCAGGACCTCGTACTGGTTCTTCTTCTCTTTTAATGAATATTCTCTCTCCCAGGTAATTTCATTTCATGTCTTATGAGAAAGAAACATGAAAATCCCAAAATCAAATTGAATGCCATGGTCTTGGGTATCTTCTCTATGCCAGCAATGCCCAAACTTATACCTACTCCATTCTTCTTGAATGAGCTCTAAATTCATATATCCATCATCTACTTAATATTTTCATTTGTATGTGAGACAGAAAAGAGCAAAGAGCCAAAGTTACTATAAGAATCACAGCTGTGGGTGACTAGTATTCAATCCCACTGATAGCTATCCAAGATTTATGCTAAATCCCAGTTTAGCATGTCCTCCTAGGGAGAAGAAGCTGGGGTATTTATTTACCTAATATTGTCCCTCAAACAAGGAGCTCAACGTCACATGGCCTTAGCTCTTTCCAGCAATCTCACAACACGGGGCCAGTCCACTGTGGTGTTCAGAAAACACCGGGAAGCATAGGATGCCCCGAGGATACCTGTGAGCAGAGAGGTATAACAGCATTCAAGATAGTTGGTTTCATAAACTTAGCCTTGCTTTATTCCCACCATCCTTTCACTTTCGGTTTAAACATCCCCTCTCATAGCCCTGAGGTTTAGATCAGGTTTGTTGCTTTACTTGGTCTCTTTGTCTCCTGTACTTTTCTCCCTCACAGTAATAACACAAATGTAAGTATACAGCTATTTGTGTGATTTAATACCAAGGTCATCAGACATCTTGCTACTCAAATACCAGCAACATTGGCAATAAAAGGCATATTTAGAAATGCTGAATCTCAGCCCTGCCCAGACACACTGAAGCAGAATTTGCTTATTAACAAATTCCTCCTTGATTTGTGTGCGCACTGGTAGTTTGAGGAACACTGCTCCACTAGATTGTATTTTCTTGAGAGCAGTGATTGTCTTCTTTGGCATTTATTCTAGGTCCCTAATGATGAATGTATCTGGAATACAGTTAGCACTCAGGATGCACACATGATGCACATGCATGCAGGCACACACATATAAAGTACACACAATATAATAAAGTGCCATTTAGAACAATGCAATAATTAAGTATATGGAATTTTCTAGCTTTTTGTCAAGAATCAGATCATAATTCCATGGGGTCAGCGATGATCTAGCCCATTGGCTAGCATGTCTTCTAATAAATTGACCTGAAGTACTACTTCAAGACCTGTTGTGGAGAAACTTCCATTATAACAAAGTGTGCAGCATTTTTATTTAGGTTATTGGACAGCTTTCCATGGCTGATCCAGCA